AGTGAGGAGCTCAACACTGACTTCAACCTGAAACTGGAACAAGGAAACAACAGAGATGAAAGGCAATATATGTGGGTTCAAGTAAGCTAGCTGGTAGTAAAAAAAATAGGAAAGGACATTTGAGGATATTAGATCAGACAACCATTTAATGCTTGCCACCAGAATGAAGACCTAAATACATAAGTTCATCTGTTTAGTAAGTGCCAATAATAATAATAATACATGCATTTCAGCAAGCATAGGAATCAAAAGCATAACAAATCACTACAATAATGCTCATATAAAAAGGAGCTCTGTGTTCCCTGACAGTCAGTGTCGTAATACTTTATTTTAGATGTCATGTAGTTCCTATGTGATATTTTCAAAGCCTCTCTATAACATATGTCTTAATAGTTATTACCTTATAGATGTGAAAGAGTGTTTTAGGCTACAGATAAAAGCATCCCTTTAAAGTTGTGCTCCATGTTTAAAAAATATATATATGCTGAACACCTTCAGGGAAGCAGTGAGAGAATCACATTGACCTCTACAGACTGTACTTAAGCTTCATGCATATTTCAGTATCTAATATGCTTTAAGGAAGATTGTCATGGGCTCGTGCAAAGTAGCAGCAATAGGCCTGTCTGCTTGGATGTCAGACAGAGATTCAATGGAAACTTCTCGGGGAATTACACATGCAGCGTTTTTCCTTTTTTAATCCCGCATAGTAAAGCAGTGCATTGCACACACGATGAGTAGAAACATGTAACTGTTTCCATTGAACTGCTCGGGTTTTCTCAAACAAACTGCAAAATAAAAACAGCGAGTGGTCCGTAAAGTTGCCGTTCACCCCCACAGCTATCACCCCGTTTTTAAGTTCCAAAAAACTTACCCTTTCCCCGGAGAGGAAGACGGTCAGCCCGAGAGTGAAAATTATCCAAACGTTCCTCATTATTCCTCTTTGTGAATTAAAACGCGTTGTTGCGAGTGAAATGTCAAATGTTTCCCCTCTGCTTCTTCTTCTTCTCCCTCTCGCTTTCCTTGCACCCTTCGCTCCAACTCCTGCCGCTTCTCTCTCTCAGGAGTGGATCCCACCGGATACGTGTTGCGTTTTGGTAATTCCTCCCCCCCTCTCTCTCTCCAGGCACTTCTTTTTTCTCTCTCTTTTTCCTTGTGTAAACCTGACAAAATATTTACAAATACGCACGGTTTCAATTGCAAAGTCCTCCCTGCGCCTTGTGTTTGGTGAAATCCGCACGAGGACGGTAGCTCGCTCTCCTCTCTCCTTCAGCGCTCACTCGAAATAACGACGACAAAAAGCACGAGCCCGACTCACGCGCTACTGAGTGCGTGCGCTCTTTACGGCCATGTCACCGCGAGACAGAACTTGCGACAAGTAGCACAAAAAAAGCCTATAATTAAAACACTAGCATCTTGGCACTCATGACAGACCAATTATGATGAGCTCAGGCTTGTATTCCGTTACAATAACTAAATACCTGTACAAATGTAACCAGTAACCCAAGTATAACAACATACAAGTATTGTAACCTGATTACTTTCTGTTACTTTTGGATGTTGTCAAATGCAATGGCAATACATTATACACATGCTGTTTTGGTTTAGCACATGACTTAAATAATTCGGTAACTTGTAAAATGTGTAATGTGTGATCATGTGCTTCGTAACATATCGTTCTTATATTGTAAAAGTGTAATGTTGCTAGTAATCCACCTTGTTTGAACTATACCAGTAATCTGATTACGTCTTTTTCAAGAAACTTTAAAGGAATAAAGTTACCTTTTTTGTATAATTATTATCCCGTTACTCCCCACGCCTGGTTTTGCTGTAAATATATAGATGATCATTATCTATTGTCTTTTTTCTCTACTGGTGAGGTCGGATAACAGACTAATTGAGCCATTTATTTCTAAGTCGAGATAACGATCTTTAATTGCACCCTAATGAGGATTCCATAATTTCACTCAGGCACTGCACTAAATTACAATCAAGTATGTTTATTATGCAGCTGTAGAATTATTAACATATCTGATTAGTCCCTCATTGGTGCTGTAGGCATGTCGTGAAATCTATGCACCACTCTTTATTCTCTAACATATATAATACAGATAGAGTTTAACACCAAAGAGAGTTACATCAGCTTCAAATCCCTTTAGTTTCATAGTTCAGCCATGTATGGGCAAAGTCTCCCCCTGCTGGTATAGTGAACAACTTCCCCCCCCTTAATATACAGAATAAAAAGTAATTCAAAAAGGTTTGCCTGAAATAGAGTTAAGTAACTGTAATCCTTGTTGTTTACATTTTATTTTGCATCTCTAAACTGCGAAATGTATGTTCAGAAACATGCAGAATTAGTTTAACCCTGAATAATCTCAAGAATCCTCTTTTTAAAGCACTATGCACAAAACGTCTGTTCAATTCATCTAGAATAAAAGTGTATTTTTGTTCTACTGAATACACATTTAGTAGCAAAATATTCCACCTCACAGTGAAATCTCATATAACTCAAATCCATTCAAAACAGTGCAAACTGCATTTCCGCAGAAACATTTAAAAACCTCTAATCCCACCTGGAAACACTCTGCCCTTTGTGTACCCTACGATCCCCCCCCGATCACAAGCACTGCCAAACAAAATTCCTAAGGCACCAATTTAGCCACACATATTACCAATGAGTTCTGCAGATACAAGGTGACTTCCTCCAGAGCAACATATAGATGTGTGAAACGGTAGTAAAGAGGTAATTGTAAATTGTTTCAGTGCTACCCTAAAATCTCACAATTACCCATAGTAATTTGGTTAAAATGTGAATACACTCTTTTGGTCCTTACCAGACGCAAGTATACATTAAAACTGCTGAGCTTAACCACATGATATCCCATCCCTCACATGGTTTAACTAATTACCCTTTAACACTCAGATGGAAAGAATTGTGAGTCACATTTTAATTATAAAACTTTACCAATTAGTGCCACTGCTGGTTCTCTCATTTCTTCAAGAAAAGTAAAACTTTTGAAAGGAATTTGAAAGGTCTTTAATAATTCTAACAATAATATTCTGTATTCAATGATTAATTAATTGCAGCTTTTATGTGAAGAATTAACTTGTTTCTACAGTTTATTTTAATTTTAAATCTACCAAAAAGCCAGCCATTTTAATTATCTTAATGTTGAATTGTCCTATTGTTGATTGTGATTTCCTCAGCAAGAAGGAATGCAATCAAGAGATAATGACACTGATTTTGTTCAGTTCCTGGAATATTTGAAATCCAGCATTTAAGTTTCAGGGATAGCACCAGGTGGTTACAATTGGGGAAAACATTGCTCTTTTGAGAGTTTACTGGAATGAAATCCTGGTGTATTTATTGACTAAGACTAGAGCAGCGCATTTTCTTTGAGATCTTCACCGCTGATGAATGGAACCAATTCTGAAACGTTGACTTAAATGTATTATGTCAACAGATTTCCCATAACTGTATTAGGTTAGTTGAAAACAATACTATTACGTTTAAATCAAAAGTATTAGGTTCAAATATTATTGCTTTCAACTAACTTAATACAGTTATGTGTCATTTGTTGACATAATACATTTAATTAAAGTCAACTTTTCAGTTGTTTCAGTGTAGGGGCTACATAATATATTTAAAGGTAATATGGCAAAAATGTGCTTATTCTCTTTTCGAGGAGATATAAATGAGCAGATAGATACTACTCTAACATGTGTTCTGAAGGTATGTAGCTCTAAGGTGAATGTGTTGCTGTGAATTGATGCAGTGCTTAGCTTAGCTTAGCATCAAAACTTAAAAAACAGAGAGAAAGATAGCCTGTCCAAAGGACTGTATCAACAATAGGTAACATCTATTAACAGCTACTCTTACGCTCACTGCACACATTATATCTTGTTTTAATCAAAAATGTGCACAATCTGAAATGTAAAAGCAAATCATGTATTTATGAAGGATTGTGTAAAGGACCTTTATTAGCGCTGACCAGAAATGCTGTGGCGTCCACGCTGGATGTCTCACAAGCGGATCTGGCCAACAAGTATGCTCGCACCAAGTCCCTCGTGAAACTGTGAATTGTTGTTTTACACCACATTTTTTATACAGATTAAACAAAATTAGGTATGCGTAATAAAGTGGTATGCATATTGCTTTAACTTTTGGAAAGAGCCAGGCTAGCTTTTTACAGCCTTTCTGCTAAACTAAGCTAACCGGCCGCATTCAGAAATGTAACTTGCAGACTTGTCAGTGTATCAGTATTCTCAGCAAAAAACTACAAATCAATTGAGCTTATTTTAAAGGAGTACATTAATTTCTACCAGAAGGACTTGGACAAAACGGAGGACCGCTTTGATTAAAACCAGTGTAAACTTAAACCAACAGCACTTAAAATGTTTGAAACTAATTTAGGATATAACTTGTCACCCATCCCCCACCGTGATGCACAAGATTCCCAGGCTGCCTCCTCCTCCTCAGAGGGCTCAACTTTACTCCTAGTGTCCAGGATTACGTCGCCAATTAGGGCAAAGGCAAAGCCCCTTATGGTAACAAGCCTGGGCTGATTGTAGTGTGCATGTGTGTGTTGTGCGTGTGTCAGTAATGTAACTACCTGTTGTGAGGAAGCACAAGGACACACGAGACAACGGAAGCCTTCAATGGAAAAAAAGTGAACACTGTTCTGGATGACAAACTCTGTGTGAAAACGGTATAATTTGATTTCCCAAGTACACATTATCCAACGTGAATTATGCATGCAATGTGCTGGACTTCCTTCACTCTATAGAAAGTGCAGACCTTCAAAGTTTTTATGGATTCCATTATATTTTATTCAACAGCACCTCCAGCTGGCAAATAAGAAGCTGATTTAAATGCAGGTGCAAATATGGTGTGTGTGTGTGTGTGTGTGTGTGTGTGTGTGTGTGTGTGTGTGTGTGTGTGTGTGTGTGTGTGTGTGTGTGTGTGTGTGTGTGTGTGTGGACAGTCCAGGGAGGTATTTCTGAAAATGAGCCACACACCTGCACAGCAGAAAGAAAACTTGAGTCGTTCTCTTTTTCTGACCCTGAAGGCTGTGCTGGAGGATGTCTTTGTTATACCAATAAAAATGCACACTCACACTCAAAACATTCTGCCACTTTCACACATACACATCATTCAGTGTGTGAGGTCAGTGCCTGAACAGTAGCTGCAGAGCGTCTTGTGTGTGAGCGGGGGGTGCTGCCATATCTGACACGGCCTGTGGACTTGGGTTCCATGAAGGATGACCTGCTACCTCCAACATGGACGCCAGGATGATCCTCACTGTTGTTACTAGCATCACTCTCTGGTTCATGGCTGTAATCCTCATCTTTGTTGTTCTCTTGCTCTCCATAGGGTGTCAGGGTGCTGCGGCTGAACTGCCTCAAGGGCTTGCCGAGAATCCCAAAGCTGATTTAAGAAAGAAAGTCATTTTCTGAAAGGTATAATGGCACAAAACACACATGAATTAAACGTAATATCTCCACATACAGTATGTGGAAAGTAATATTCTATGAATAATTCCACTCTTTAGGTTGATTGATGATCTGGTGAGATGCCAATAAAGATTCCCTTTACATATGAAATCTTAGATGATTTGGTTAAAAACCAGACAAAGCGTTCTTTAACACAATATGACCCCAGGGAGCTCTGAATAGAGTCATGGGGAGTGGGTTTTCCGGCACCTAATCACAAAAGGGTTTAGTTTCTCATATTAGTTCCCAGTTTCTAAGAAGTTGAAACAAAACAGGCAGGAGAAAGGAAATACTTTCAATGCAATCACAGCTCATTACAGCTACATGTCCTTTAAACTAATCATTACTAGTATCCAAATACATCTATAAAGCTTCTCTATATTCTTACATTTACACAGTATCAAATGAGACCCTTTAATGCAACAAAGGTCACTGTAGTTCTTCACAAACTGCAGCTTTATGAACATGTACAGTAAGTGTATGTTTTTGAGGTTTTTAGCCACACATACATGGTTAAAGGTATGAAATATTAAAACTGTGGGAACCCTTTAAAGCAATCAAGTGGCTGGGGAAAACAGTGAAGCATATAGTAGGGTAAAACACAGATCCTTATTTTATGAGTTTTGTTGACCACACCAGAAGTGCCAAGTATATGACACCAATAGCATCCACATGTGGCTCTTACTCTGCCACATACTTATGACTAAGTGCATAAGTATTGGCTAACAAGTTAGCCACAAGCACTTGAGAAGCTAATAGCTTATCAGTGGTATCCAGGAACTGATGGATACACGGATCGTGTTCAAATCAATAGGCACGCAATGACTCTAAATAATAATGATCACGCCACCAAACGCAGATTAAAACTAAAGTAACAAACCTGTTGTGAAAATGTAAGAAGTAGAAAGTACAGGTATTTGTGTTCAAAATGTAAGAAGTAAAAGTAAAAAGTCGTCACAAAAATAAGTAGTGGAGTAAAGTACTGATACCACAAAAATGTACTTAAGTACAGCAACGAAGTATTTGTACTCCACTACTTCCCACCTCTGATCATAGTACATATAACAATAACTGTTACTTTAGAAATATCCTTGAGCAACCTACACACATCACATCCTGTGTAACATATTGGGTGATCTTTTACACCACCTGAGAGTTGCCAGCTGCTGGTTGAGCTCCTCCATCAGGACCTTAGTGTCACAGGGGCCGGCCTGCAGCGGGCTCTGTCCCCCGGCCTGGTTGCCGAGGAACAGATGGGGGGAGCGCTCTTTGGGCGAGGGCAGCAGAGACATCATCAGTGGGGATCGCTGATTAACTATACTGCTGAGGGCGGGACGTCTCTGAGGCATTCTGGGGGGAAAAGTCAGATCAAGAATATATAAATACTCAATGGAAACATGCATAATGTAAGATGTATTCAATAAAACACACAGGGCAACAAATTCATACTGGGTTGACTGGTAGTAAAAAGTAAGAGAAAACTTCTTCAACACCATTAAAAAGCAACTAAAGATCCATCTGTATCGTAGTTCATTTACACCCAGCCAGCTGTATAAGCATTTTAAAAAGAAGAAACTCTCCATGTATTCCATTGTGTCATACATACCCTTAGTACTCATGGTTAAGCAAATATCCAAGACTAATCAATCAGGAAAGCTATAATGGGAGCCACATTCTCAAAATCCACGTGCAAACACAAAAAATATATAGTGTAATGTTTTTTTTAGACCATATTTTTTTAATTTCTGCAACATAGCTGGAAGCATTGCTGATTCTGCTCCAAAATCCTTTGTGTACAGCCACCCTCAGGGGGAGAGCGAGCTTCAAACTTCAGATTGTTTGGTCTCGACCTGACAGCAGGAGAGAGCTCTGACAGCTTACACTGCTGTCAATCTGGTTTCAGAAACAGCAGCAACATAAAACAGGCTGTCAGACATTCCCTCCTATCGGACAAAGCTATGAATCTGTCTACATCAATCATCATGTTCCAGCTGGAGGTTTTGACATGACATCCATCAGACAAAAACAACTTCACTGCCTGAGCCATGAAGTTATCTAATCCATTACATGTTGAATGTCTGCTGGACTGGTTACACAAATTGGTGATTAGACAATACATTATATTCGTTATAACATCTACTATATATATATTTATATCAACAATGGATGACATGTTTACTTCTACAGTATATGAATATCAGAACCAGAAGCATAATCTGAATACTTGAATTATCCTGGGGGAAATCAGGATCATTACAGTGTCTCCAGTTTAAAATAAAAGATAAATAAATATAAAATACAAATATTATTATAAAGAAATTGAATAAAATAGGAAATGCAATAAAAAAGATTAGACGTATAAATAATAAATACAAATATTTGTATTAACATAAAGTAAATGAATACAATATGAAATGCAATAAAAATATTATTTATATATAAATATATGTATATATATATATATACATACAAACATAAGAAGTTAAAGTAAAATGTTTAATAAAATGTGCAGTTAAATTAGAAGTGTGCACATTGTACTAAAATATGCAACATGTATACTACAATAACTACTATGTAATACTAAAAGGCATGCTGTCACTCTCCAGTCACCTTCAGCTCTACAGAGGTTCATATCTTTGTTTAGCTTATTGATCTGGTTCTCAGGGCTGAAACTCTGTTGCTTCACCACTCTCATCAGTAATGTTATTGGCAGCAGCAGGCAGGAGTTTTCAGCAACAAAAAAGCCATAAAAGCCCACTGTGTGCCACCTTTCCTGGACTCAACCTTCCCTTGGCTTTAACACACCTGTGCTTCAATGAGCTATTCCATTCCGTCTCCTCGGGGTCAACTTCTCCCGTCTTCACTGAACCATTAACAGCAGTGAAGGTCGTCCCTGAGTCCCCATCAGTCCTGTTTCTCACTGCCATGTTAAAGGTGTCAGAGTACAGAAGACGCCCCACCTCCTCTTGGATGTCCCTCAGGTCCTTCCTGCCAAACGTCACCCAGGCTGCATAACAGAAGAAGCTGTACAAGCACTAAAAACAAAGGGGGAGGGGAAGAGAGGGGGAAAGATGAGGAGTTCTACACTCAAATAAATGTAGTCCTTAACCCAATAGTTAGACAATCATGCCATTTCAACAGCCCTTTTTCGCCACGTATAAGATGGTATTTTAAAAAGGTCAGCTTTTCTGCCTGAAAAAGGGGTCACATACAGAGCAGGCATTAAGCTGCTGGCTGATGGTGTTTGTTTGATATTTCCCTCCCTGTCCACCCACCTGGCTACAGTAGAGAGCCTGTCAAAGCAAAGCACCTGTGTTGAGTCAACATCTCCTCCCACTAACTAATTCATTAAGGCGAGCAGGCAGAACCGGCACTCAATGTCTGTCTGTTCTGCTCACTGCCGTCTGTATTCACAGATGGTGAGCCGGCCTTCACGCTCTCGAGCTGAAGGCTTCATTTATTTCCCTGTACAGATGAGGCAATACAGTTTCAGATGTTTCAACATGCTGGTTTTGGGGAAGAGATTTCAGGTCAGTTACAAGTCAGATTTATCCTGGCATTACGTTTTTATTTTTTATTTGAGGGATTGGAAATGGATTCATTCGAGTTTCATATTTCCCTCTTTAACTGAGCAATTCAGCATTAATACCTTTATTGATATCGATACACCATTGCATATATACACATATTTTAAACATTTATTGTTACATATTATACCCTGTGCATATTTTTACTTTAACTTCTTAGGTTAATATCAATATTTTATTTTATTCAATTCTAAAATGGAGCAACCCCCTTGGGATAAAAATAAAGTATTGTATCCATCTATTCAGATTCTGATTCATTTAGTACATTTTCTGCACATTGTTGGATTCTTATGCACTTACCGCATGCAGCAGCCAGTCTGTGCTGTGTGATAACATCCGGCCCCTGCAGAAACACAGCAGAGCTTGGTATGTTGTGGTGAGCTGTGATTGTTTAACTTTTTTTGTGGTTGATATGATGTTTTGGGGCACTGGGTCTCATATCTGGTTTCACATTTTTTGTTTTGCATCATTATGTGACTATATTTTATATTTTTGCACTAAGTATACCCCCATCTGGCAATTTATAAAAGCAGCAATGCAACATCGGACCAGTAGCTTTAGCAGAGCTTCTCAGTTTCTTGCATTGGTACCCAGAAGGTATCAATACAACCGAGTGAAAACATTGCAAAGGGAATAGTTATTTTCTGAATCTGAACAAATACTCACTTTTGATATGCTGTGTGTTGATGCTGTTCCATCTCCAGGTCCATCATTAGGCTGAAGTAGCAGACAGCCAGCTTCTTTTGTGCTATTTCCTTTTTGGCAAAAGCCTCTGCCATCATCTTGTGCTCTGTGATGAGGTCTACACTGGCAGATTGTTGAGAAAGGGAGTGAGGGTGTAAACATACAGGACAGATAAAAAAGAAAATTGAAAATATATATAAAGAAAGATAGCTCACAGGCACTGGTGGATAAAGAAAGGACATGACAATACAGGCAATAAACACCAGCCATAGGACACATGATGGCAATGTAAGAAATAGACAATTTATTGTCACACGTACGCCATTGAAGATTTGGGCATATCCTCCAGAGACTTGTGTTCAAAGAAACAGGACAGGTAAAGGAGAAGGGCAGGCAGGACGTCATCAAGAGCTTTACACCTAGGACACAGACAAGCAAATAGTATTGGTGAACAACTGATCTTGAAATGTGAAACAATGGAAACTATGCGCATGTCAAAAAAAATCATCATGTCTTTGTATTCCTTACTTTAATACAGTCATGAAGCTGAATGGAATTGGAAGCAAGTAATTCTCCTGTAGCAAACTGACAGCCACCTCTACAACACAGAGAGTTTGTCAGCAAAGGGTTAAAGGTCATCCAGCATGCAATGAGTATACAAATATGTTTTTGGGCAAAAATAAAACCTTCATAGAGCAAAGTTAGGTATAGTTTTGTATTTGATATTAAGATCAATAATTCATGGATTAAACTTGATTTGGGAAATACCAAATGTATGAGCCAATCTAGAAAATAATGTATTTGTCTACCCCAAAACTACAATGTTCTTTGAGTGTCACTGTTGGGATAAAAGCACAAGCTCTGACAGAAATGGAGCACGTAATCTAATGCCAATATGCATCAGTTCAGCAAATTACCAATGCTTAACATGACAGAAGCGTAGCTGACCCAAGTCATACAGTATTATTGTTAGGAATTCAACAACATATTGGAACTTGCGTTTAACATCATCAATTGTAATGCAGTCTCCTCGCCGCCTCATCACAGAGGACCTGTAGGCATGCAGATGAGCAGGGCGCAGGCTCTTTCTAATGCTCTGGCGCCCTCTATGGTTCAACGTGCAGATCTCAGCCAGCCTGAGCAATAGGAAATATTAGCAGTGATGAACATGTGCAGGTTTGACTGTGAAAAAAGTCCATAGCAAAACATTGTATGCAGTTACAAAAACGATTGGTTATTATAAGGCTACATTTATTTTGCTTTTCGAACCACTATAAACAGTTATATAACATAGACAAAGACTTGAATTTATAAAGAAAAACGTTTGAAAGCTGCTTGTTGTAGACCAGGGTTGTCGAAACTACGGCCCAGGGGCCAACTTCGGCCCTTCCTCAACTTGTAATTGGCCCTCAGTTAAGTGAAACTTGTGCTAGTCTTATATTTTGCTTCTTAAATATATGAAAAATGTATATTACATGGTATTCATGTGTTAATAAGCCCAATTTTCAAATAAATTCAACCAATTAAAGTTGAAAACATTTTCTAACAAAACTTAATTATTAAAAAAAGCCAGATAACTTATTTGCATAACAAGCTTATAAAAAGCTTATAAAAAGCAATCTGAGGCTTCTATTTTAAGGGATGAGCAGCCAACACTTTTTGTAACAGAATGAAAATAATGAAACCCTGTTAATGGAAATCTGTGATGTAGGCTGTTTTTCTTTTTCTTTCACCATGTTCAATTATTATTATTTATAATATATTTGATTGATTTTGCGAACTAATAACTTAACTTATGAGGCAATACCTCACCTGTAGTGAGTGGCCCAGCCCAGCGCCATATAGATAGAATCTCTCTATATGGCGCTGGCCCAGCCCATAATATATTTTTCTGTATGTGGCTCCTTAGTGAAAAAAGTGTGGACGCCCTGTTGTAGACCTTACCACTCTGCTCGCTGTTGAAGCTCTTTGAAATTGACATTAGTTTGCCTCCTTTTTCTCAAAACACACTCCTCTGCTGGACTAGAACAAAAAGAGAGAGATGTGCACGAGACAGTTTAACGACGTCTCGTGACTGTTAGCAGGTGCATGCTACTGTCGCTGGTAATCAGGCCCAGCTGCGCTCACCTGACAAACTCCACTGTTCGACTTTCATCCCTCCACACCCAACGTCCTGAGGGCTGTACACTCAGCTGAAAGGTATTTCCCAAAAGTCAGACAGAACTTTTAAATGTGCCATGAATTGTAAATATTGACTATTAACATTACTACAATAAGATACTTGGACATTTTAGACGGTTAACGTGAAATAAAAGTGCTGCACAAACACCAGTAGGTAGTAGGCTAGGTTAGCCAGTTGTTAACAGTTGTCTGAAAACTTGTAAAGTGTCGTGTCTTACGTTCTGCTTTTCTCTCACAACATTTGTAAAACTGTTGAAGTGTGTCCATCTCAATGCGGCTACTTACGTGTTGTAGCTCCTCGGAATGTTTCGGCATTATTGAGTCCAAAACTTTTTACAAGTTAGCTAGCATTCCTTCCTTTTAGCGTTTGCTAATGTTAGGAGTACTGTTTCCAGGCAACGACCAATAGTGGAAGAGGCTGCATCCCGACGTAGTGATACATGTTATTACGTCAATAACCTTAAAACAAATGCTCAACATCAGCTTGATACTTATGACTTTGCTTCATTTGACAAGTTGCTTACATTTTCCTCTGCAGTATATGACACATTACTTCTGTCTTGGGGAAATCGCAGCTGTAAAGCATGGTCGAAAAACAATAGAATGTCCTATAGCCTATGTGTGATTAGCATTGCCTTTTTTTGTACACTTTTCAGCACTCTAAGATCCCAATTAACACTTACTAGGATTTATCATACTGGAGTTTTTATAACAATAATTAATCATATAATAAGAATAATAAGAATGTTTTTGTCTAAACTGAAATGTGATGCTTTTTTTTTTAGAAGGTAACACTTTAATTCATCTTTTGTCTGCACCTGCGATGAAATATGTGAGACTGATAACTCTTGATTAAAACAAAGATTGTGTTATTATGTATTATTAACCTGCTTTTGAATTAGAAACTACATCATATCAACACCAGGATATTTTCAAACCAACTACATTTATACTTAAAGGTGGGGTAGGTAAGTTTGAGAAACCGGCTCGAGATACACTTTTTGTTATATTCCATGGAATGCTCTTAACATCCCGATAGCAATGAATATCTGAAGTGCTTTGAAAAAAAAATCCATAAAAAAATGTCATCTGTGGAAGCCGTAGTACTGTAAAAAGCACGACCAATCATTTTAGCCGGCCCGGCTAAAATAACTGGATGGCCTACCTGCCTGTCAGCCTTCCATCTGTGCACAAACTTATCTCGTGCCCTCATTGGTCATGTGCACGTTCGTGTGTGTTGGAGGAGGGGCTCTGTAAGGAAGTAGCAGATTTCTTCTGGCTGTGTATTTTCAAAATCTAGCGATCTCGAGCTGGTTTCTCCAAAATTACCTACCCCACCTTTAATATGTAAAACCCTGTGTAGTTCAATCTGTGACCCCATCAACCTTTTCTCCTTGCTTTGATTGTAGTTACATTCATAGCCTTTATAAAACGTCCTATTTTGAACTGTTAATATAGTCAATAATACACAACAGCTACCCAACTGGTTTAAATAAAGCCACAACATCTAGTCATAACATACGTTTTATTTAATCAGGGATTCAAAATATTCTCTTGACATTATATTTCTTTGCAGCTTTGTTCCCCCACCAACATTGCATGTTACTATTAAAAAGATGTGTAAGCATTACAAAAAATAACAGTTTTTGCATTTAAATGCCTAAGATCTGCTTTTCTAAGCTCTCTAAACTTGCACGTGAGTGTTTAAATGCTCTTTGGAGTGATAAGATGTAGACGTTCATCTAGATAGTCCAGCCCCCAGCCTCGCTGTCTGTCTGTCAGAGAATCAAAAGACTCCAGCAGTTCCACGTCACAGCTTTTCCCTGAAGAAAAGAAAAGCACTGTTAAAAGCTGCAAATAAATGTTGGCCCCAAAGTCTAACATGTATCACATTTAAGTACCACTTTTGACTGCACCCCTTTTAATTTGCTAATTTATTTGGTGCCTCATTTATAGTTAATTATCGTACAGAAACACACTCAGCCACGATTGTTCTTAATAGTACTCACCAAACAGGCTGTTCACTTGGTCGTCAGGCACCAAAAAGGGAGGACCTAAAAGACAGACACAGTCACAAATATATCTTATTTTTCACCAAACTCACCAAAAACTTAATTTAGACACAATCTGGACATTTACCTTCGTACAATTCAGGATTGTACAACATAGTATCCAAAAGGTATCTGCAGTCTTTGGCCATAAGAGAAATGATGAGTGCAGCATACCTGTGTTATTGTGAGAGAGAATAAAGTCAGACAACATTGAGCATGTGAAGTTTTATTCCAAATTGGACCAAACTATGTTTTCTATAATAAACTACCTGAGGTCTTATACCATTTGTTATATAATTATGTAAATGATACAGTGCTTTTAATGGGTTTCAAATGTAAAAGGTCATAAGCTGTCACATTTTTCAAATAAACAAAATGTTTTTTAATAAAACCAATCTGATATGTTTTTCCTCATCTTACTTTTCTCTGTCTCTTGGGTTGATGGCCACTAGAGATCCCCTGTCCCAAATGGCCCCGAAATGACCCCCAATGGTGCTGTACAAAGGAAAAGAAAATGTGTTTTAAAAATTCACCCTTACAAATAATTGAACATCTTCAAATGTAATGAACACACGCTAACCTGGAGAAGTTGTACAGGTCAGATTGATACAGGGAGATATTTCTCTCTGAGCCCTGTGGAACAAAGACAAAGGGGGGTTATCAATTTTGTCAATTTGTGTAACTACAAAATCCTACTTTTGGGTCCAATAACTTGATTTATACCGGTACATAAGGTTATGATTTTTCTTTGTTCATCCCATATGCTTTTATTTTGTCAAAGTTTTGTCGTTACAAAGTGCAGACTTTTGTCAACTATTCTTATTTCCCATGCAACAATAATGCACATTTTACCAAGAAGACATGATTAATTATCAAGTCTGTTTAGCCCCTGAATAGGATCCTCGCGTTTGCAGATCTGTAATTAAATCCATTCTTCTCTTACAATGTGTCAAAGAAATGTATTGATATCCTACCTTGAAAACCTTTGCTCCAGGTAGGGCAGGGACAGGCTCCTCACTGTAGGTCATATTGTTGTCCTCAAAGAACTGTTTTATAGCCTTTTCAGATATCTCCACCCCAACCACTGAGTGGCCCATGTCTGCTAGCCTGAGATTCAAACAGTAGAAGGAATTAAGGGGCATGCTGTGCTAAATGTTTTCACTATAGGGTGTATATACATTTTGAATAGGAACTTCCTTTTTTATTTTAAGCAGAAATGAAAACTGAAAACACCAACTGCAATTTTTCTAATTGGATAAAGTACATTTGTTTCATACCACTTCATATCTACAGCTTTCCCACAGAGAGGGAAGAAGAAGCGAACTCCAGTTCGTCCTGCAAGAACTTTATCAATGTGGCTCTCCAGCATCCTGTCAGAAGATAAACAACAGCTGTTAACAGCCAAACACAAGCCATTTCTGCATACGTCGTTTTTAAATAGTTAGTGTTACATCAACACTCGCGTTTAACTACTAAACCCTATAAAAAACATCCAAACATTTAAAAAAGAAACATGTAATCAATGTTGATAGACCTTATGTGCTTCTGTACAAAGCATTTTTCTGGAATCACTGAAGTGAAATTGTGCATTTACAGTAAATGTCATTTTGTACCAACACATAAGCGTTTCAAAAACGTGTGTTTTCCCTTATCCCACCAAAAAGACAGATCAAAGTGTGGCCTTTACTTGTGTACATGAGGCTGATGGAAACCAATTCTGTCCTCCTGCCAGCGCTCCTCCCATTCTCCGAGTGCCATGACCCGATCCGCCTGCTGTGCCAGCATGATGCTTACGTTTGACAGACCACAAGTACTACATGGAGCCGAGAGAAAGCAAAGAATGGAGAGAACAACATTCATATGTGGCTGGAGACAGGGGTGAGTGTCCAACATTCATACAGTCAGTGGCGGCCGGCCCATAGGGGCGCCGCCCCCCCTCTTCCCACATGTTTGATTGTCATTAAAAATTAAAAATAAATACAAAAATATATTTAAAAAAATATATATATTTTTAATTTTAATTTTAATTTTTAATGAACAAGGTAAATATTATATAGTTGGTATCAGTAACATGTATAATCTACAATAACATCTCGTTTAAAATTGTTTTACAATGTCTAAAGTTACTGATAAGTCACATGTTTCCTGCCTGTCCGCAGCTGTATCATTACCCTCTCTCGTCCGGGCGGTAAGAAAGGAGCCCTCAGCCAGAGCAGCAGCAGCCAACAAGCTGACTGTTGCTATCTGTAAACTATGCCGCCGAAACATAATTTCAGCCAATCAGCGTCGTCGTTGTGTGGGCCTACTGTACTGTGGCAGAGTTTTGGAAGATTCATAGCTAACCACACTGAAGATTATGGATTATCTCGTATTTTTAAGCCTCAATTTGTCCTCCCCCCCCCCCTCCCCCTCCCCCCCCCCCCCTCTAACATCACCAGAAGTCATCATTTATGGGGCCATTTCTCAAAAATGTCTTCCGGGGGAGGATCCCCCGGACCGCCCTAGTATGGTTTGGTCACCACTTCCATAGCCCCACCAAAAATATTTTCCACCAGCCGCCACTGCATACAGTCATATGTTCTTGCACATAAACACATACAAAACAGGAATGGAAGTGAAAAAACGAGGCTTCTGAGCAGTTAACAAGCTTGCAGGGTAATAAAAGTCTGACCCTTCTGGTAAATTACAGTAGTATCAGCTGTAGTCAGAGCAGTTGGTTAAAGGTCATATGGCCTATAGAGGTATATGTTCTCTATAATGTGCAAACATATTGCAAAAGTGTTAAGTTTCATCTTTTAGCCTGCCTAATGAGATCTCAAAATGAATTGGTGAAGCTTCTTGTAATATAATAATTTGTAGCAGTCACGTGACTATTCAAACTGACGTCACGGGTATCTTACCAAACATCTTGCATAAGTCATTCCTAATGTAAATAAATGGGAGTTGAATACTTTGGAACGATGAGTTAAGTCAATCCAATATGACAGATTATGAACAGAATCGATATAATTGTAATACTTAACAATGTCATGCTTGTCCTCGCTTACCTAGCAGCAGCCTGAAATAAACCAACATTACTTTTAAAGAGGAACCTGAATCCCGCTTGTTTGCAAGTTCTAACGAAGAGCATACCTTTCCTGAATGAAGACAGCTAATACTTGCTCAGCAGCACACCAGCGACTGCATTGATCTTGTAACAGATTCAATCAATACACGGTTATCTTTGTGCGTATATATTTCCTGAGTATGGTCTGTCAGGTGATCCTTTGTCTCACTGCTCGTCGACAACCGTTGCGAAAGTGGCAGGATAGTTATGAAAACATTGCCTGACAGGCGGAGCTCGCGGATTTCAAGAGCAACATTCATCCGGTTTCACTTCTGGTTTGGGAGGAGCTTTATGCTGCATTCAGGTACAGGGGAAATATTGGATATAATAGCATTCAATTTGAAAACATTACCTCACTTTTGAATGTTTGCCCCAGGACATATCATTATTGTTTATGATTTATGAATATGCAAAATGTACTAATCCTCACAAGGTTATAGTTATTACCTCATAGTATGGTAAGGTATAACTTTTGTTATAAATATAAAGATTTTTTTTAACAGACATACACAAGGACAGGGACAATGCTCACACACATTACAAACAGAACAGGACAATAACATGATGGGGTGGGGGGGTAAGGGGGTTACAGTGTCAATTCAATGTTACGCATGCACATTCCGTTGTATTATACATGAATTCTGTCATAACATACTTTCATTATTAATGAATAAATAAATAAATGTATATATTAACTTTCTCCATTTGTCTCACTTTTCTTTTATGGTAAGGTATAACTCATTACTAGGCTATGCATATTTCATCATATTGTCTGAAGAGGACATCTGGAGCATGGCTGTTAGAGCTTGAGAATTAATTCTTGACCTTGGGAACTGTAGTTATTTTTAAAAAGAAATCCTTACTCAAGGTGCCTATTATTAGTTTATATCTCTCCTTTTCATACAAGATATACAAACCAAAAGTAAACTAACAATGATGCAAACAAACAACAACAAAAAGTACAATTACAGGAACAAGAGGGATTTATAGTAGTGCCTCACAAAAAAAATCATCATTATCATAGTGTGTGCCTGATCTGTAGGGGGAAGAAAGGCTTCTAAATATCCAGACAGGACTGCTCAATAGTATTCTGTGGACATGCAGCGCTGAAATGGATTCCCAAACTTGATCCATTCATTCCAGAAATGAACATATCAGCTATTTTTTTTTAATACAGAAAATACAAAATATATAAATATGTTTTAATACCTGATAAACTACCCTTATTTATATTGTCAGGCATTCACATTATTAATTGAGTTATTAAGAGTTATGTCATCATGATTCTTATTCCACCGTGTTTCCCCCTCTTTCCCTTCCTGTCCTTGCTGCTGAAAGCCCACTCAGACTGTGACAGCTGTCACTAATCCTCAGAGCCTCGTGCTGGTGCTCAGTGATCAGCCTCTGTCTGTCTTCACACTTGATTCGGTTCAGTGCTGAGCGGGAGCCAGGAAGCAAAGCCACAGATAAGATATTCTTCCAAAGTTAGAAAAAGTGAAATCCGAGGGAAGGAAAGAAAGAATGATGACTTAATCCGCACACAGGGCGGCGCAAGAGTCTCAGACATGTTTCAAGGCGCTCAGTCACTCTCCTCTGTTTCCCGGGTATGTTGTAGCCTTTATATATACAGTCTATGGTTGTAGCCTATACCACGTTGGCAGTCACACATTTAAAAGACACTCACTACAACACATAATACAGTTGACTATATTAAAATACTTCTGCTAGTGGTGCATTTCGAAACGACCTGATTCCTAACATCCTTTTTGGCTTGTTCAAATCCTTAACTTGGGGCTAAATTGTTATTTATTTTTGATGAATAATGTGTTTAGCTAAATATATGCCAACATATTGCCATTCCAAAAGTGCCGTTTTATAATTTAACAGCTAAAACAACACAACTCTCCCACATTGGTCTGCCTGATAGTCATCATAATGATGGCCCAGTGTTTACACTGATGTATTTGAATAGTTTCCGCAAAGGTGACAAGATATCTATCTAAAGTTCAGCCCGAATGAATAGTCTACATTTAAAGGGGCCATGAGAAATGTGACGCCCATCCATGTCGGTTTAATTCCTGTGTGTAATTCGGTGTTTCCACATCGAGTTGCGCGCGGTCGCATCCAGATGTGTGTGTTTTTTTTTACGCTGAACGAAGACGTCGAGCAGCCTCTGGACCAATCGCTGCCTCCCGGGGGCGGGTCGTGTGTAGACTGTTGTGGATATGGAAAATGGACAATTTAACCCGCACATTCATCATTCATATCCCGACGGGGAGACTTGCACGCTGAATTGATTCGCAAATGCCCGGCCGTGGTGTGAAAAGGAAAATTACCAGAGAGGGGAAGAGGCTGCTTCGCCACCCGGTAAGAGAGCTCTGTGTCGGGGGGGAAGTCGGTGCTCAGCGGGGATCATATGTGTTATTTCTGCTCTCTGTGTTTGGATTCTGTGTTTCTTGTAGATGTATCGGAGTACTGATAAAGGGAATGATGAGTCTGTTGAGATTATAGATTGCATTTCTATATTCGGAGTTAAAGAGCATTCTAAAGGCATGCTCATGTAAATACAACTAAACGCGTAACTGCCCGCTGACACATGTCACAGGTTACTATTATAACATGAAGAATACAGTGCGTTTTTCCACCATAGGGTAACCTTAAGTGCCTTCAGCTCCTGGTGTATTGTTTGCCCGTCGCTCAGCAGCAGCGCACCTTTGTCACTCACGCTGCTCGGATGTTGAATTGCAAATGTTGGAGGCAGCCCTCACGATCATACAAAGAGGCAAAACAAGAAATAACCTTTTGTTATTCTGTTGCTTTTATAGATGGAATACTGCTATATAAGGTCACCATAACCTGAACTCGGTGTAGGTGCAACAGGGACACTTTAATTCGCCACTGCCTGGTTTATTTATTATGAGGACTGCCAGGTGGCTGTTGGAGCAGCAGGGAGTGATGATGTGCGATCCATGGTGCTCTGAGTGAGAGAGGTGCATGCTGGATAATAAAGGAGAACCCGACAAATCAGCAAATGCGAGATCTGGGAAATGTTGATACAGACACGAGGGGGCGGTGGGACATTCAGCCTTATTATTTGATGTAGACGCGCCCGGACGGTGGGTATGTTTGCGCTTTGTCAGCCTTGTAGGCTCGTAAATCGAGTGAGGGGTCGCCCCATGAGGAGGAGAAGTTGGTGCTTTGAGCCTCTTTAGCTGGTGTCCTCGGCGAAGTGAGCGGTAGAAGCTCAACAGTTCAGTGCGCAACTGTTCTTCAGGGGGACTGAGGGCCGGAACCACCCTGCCCACAGCTCCATGAACCTGCTGCCGCCACCTGCATCGGATCTCTGTAGCGTTCTGTAACAGGTAGGCTGAACAGCTTGATAGAGAGACTGTCACATGTTAAAGTAGCGTCCAAATACTGTGTCACCGTGACTGACTCACTTATGGACCTAAATAATTAACTGTAATTCTAATGCTTTGAAGATAATTATTCATTATCTGGGTCCGTTCAAAGCTTCCGTAAACTCTCTGAGCTTTTGGAAAATATTCAGCACACGTTTGAATCTTTTGGCAGAGGATCATCTTCTCCCACTGCTCAGATGGGCTGTGGGCTGCACATGACTCTGCCACATCCAAGAATATTAAATAATGTTGCCACTTGTTCAGCTGTCATGCTGTTTCTGAGTGCAGGATGGTGCGAAGAACATCCAACCAATGATCTAAACGTAAACTGAATGTAAAGTCTACTTTGCAGAGATATAAGGAAGATAGTGAACAGAACACAGAGGTACTGACAGTATAAGGCATCCAGGGAACATATGGATTTTATACTAAGTGACATGGCTTCCCTTTAAAGTCCTTAAGTGTTTTGAGAGCAGTAGGGAATTCTATTTACAGGAGAGCATTCGGAAACACCTGACTTAACAGCTTAGTTTCATATTAAAAAAGAAACACACCACAGGGCTGTATCTCCATGCAGTCCAAATAAAGACTGCTTTGTTCTGGCTTCTGTTTGTCTTGGATACCTCTCTTGCTTTCAATACATATTAGCCACTAGCTCAGGAAAGAGACAAACATTACCTTCTTTCCTATCAATCTATGTATTAATAAATCCCAAAAGAAACAAACAAGGCTTCGAGGGTTCACTGCCGCAATTAATTACATCTCTCTAGTTATTTTCATTTGATAGAAAAAGACTGCGACTTCATTCAGTGATCCTAAATAAAGTGCTGCTATTATCAGGGATGCGAGTTAAAGGCTCTCTGGGGAGGCTGAATCCTGATGGCAAGCTGTACATGGATCTCATCTGATTTATGAAATGACTTTATTGTAATGGCGACCCCCTCGTCTTAATAGGATTTTGCATTCGTGATGGTTCTCTAATACCCTCCCCAGTGATTAAGAGAAGCACAAATCTTGCCTTGTCAAAGCATTTGGCCAATACAGATACTATTCATATCCCAGATGTGGTGGGCATTTCCATTATCAAGGCTTTTAATAAAGGGGTTGAGGATGTCAGTGTATGACCTTTAAATGCTATTAACCTTGATGGGTCACTGTGCATAGTGATTATCTATTTGCATGCACTTTTGAGTAATAATAACCAAGTCTGGGAATAAAGACGTGGCAATAAGGACAACAAAATTACAGTTTTAGTATAGTAGTATAATATAGAGTATAGTATTAATAAATAATACAATGATTGTTATATGTAATATGTTTAGAGGGAGACATTGGAGTCTGAAATGTATTTATTCTCCTGAATCTTTTCAAGCCAAATTCTGCAAAAACTCCTATTTTAATCTCCAGTGTCAGGGACATTCTACTAATTAAGCCCCCGTCTGGAATATGCCCCTTCTTCCTTATCCCAGGGTCAGATCGTATATCATCCCCGTGTTGTCAAGGTCGGATTGTTTACAGGTCGATCAGATCCGAGTCCTGCGATAGCAATGCCTTCAGCCCGGAGCTCCGGAGATAAGATGAGTTGCAGGTTGCATGCACTGCGAGCAGGAACAGTAAATAAGGCAGATGGATTTCACTACATGCTGTGTGTGTTGTCAGGTGCACAGCCGGGCACCCTGAACACAGAGAAGCCCACTTACTGTATCACAAGCTTTCTCACTCTATAAGCTCAGTGCTCTGTGCCACTGGTTTGTGTCACGCATCCTGCATGTTTCTTTATCACATTTTTCTTAGGACGATCCACTGCTTTGCCAAATTCCGAGCATGAGCTTGAACGCCCTTAATAACTGTTCCTACCCATCTTGTTCATTCTGTTAATTAGCCCTTGTGGCGTTGGAGTGCAGCATATTGTTGAGACATAATTAATCAACCCGGCTTGTAATTATGCTGGGTTTGGAATGTGAGCGCGGTTGGGAGGCCGGTTGCGTCGCAGGGCATTCAGCTTGAGGTAAACATCTTATTAACCGAGTTCCACTGCCCATGCGGAGCAAGTCTTTTTATGGTGCTTTATTAAGGTGAAAGAGAATGTGCTGTTATACACATTATGAAAATGGCCTATAAGAACCACCTTTATGGTCATAGTGGTTCTGAGGTGGTCAATCTAATGGAAATATACTCCAGTAGCTGCTTGTGGACAGAGTGTTTTTTTATCCAGTAAAAAGCAAATTTTCTCAGCATACACCAAAATGCACATGAGCTTGTGTATGTGTCTACTTATATATGCATATGCTGTGTGGGAGTGTAAAGAGCATCTCAATTTCAAAGGGCAACTAGTAGGTGAGGACAGAAAATAGAACTTGGATCACATACCGGTTGTAAGTCTTTAATGCAGATCTGTCAGCAGGCACAGAACTTTTATTTTGATGCCTGCAGACCTCATTGACAGTCAGTGACTCCCGCTCAGGATCTATGCAGTTAAAAAAAGATAGAAATGCAACCTTGCTTTAATGAAGGAATTTACACTCACACTAAAAACACACACATTCTTCAGGCTGGCCACTAAGGTCACTTTATCAAGGATGCAATAGTTTCCAACCTAAGGGTTCAAGACCTAATATTTTATTTTTGCTGCTGATTTAGATAACTTTATATCCTTTGGCCTTTAAAGTGAGGATCTAAGATTTTCAGGAATCGAGTCCGCATTTACCACAACGTCCTTATCATAAAAGACTCAAAGGAAACAATGCAGCATGGAACCCATTGTAATTTCATTTTATTGATAACCCTATTCATCTCTTTCGACCCAACTGAAGCTTTATAAAGATATCGCTAATGCATTCCCCACATTTCTTACTGCTGCTGCTTTTCATTAAAAGCATTCAACTGGAAAATCATGGGGTGGCTCCATTAAAACAATGTGAGTTTGTTTTGCTGCACAGATACACAGTTACTCTTGTTGAGTAGCAGCTCCCTCAGCGTTCACTGCTTCCATAATGCTGGGACCTGTATTACAAACTGCACTTGACTCTTTGTTCGAACTTTCCTCCAATCAGAGACATATTCAACCTGAATTGAGGGGTCACAACTAGAAAGAAGAATCATTTTGAGGGGTCACAAGCGAAAAGATTTGGAAAACTACAATAACACAAAAAATTGCAGTGCGGCTATCTTCTGGTCCCAGGTCACGCCGTCACATCTCTCAGGCCCGTAATGACAGAGTCCGGGATTTAATTTTAGCTCGACTGAGGCTTTCACCTCACCACAAAATGTGTGTTTTCTTCAGAACACTTCATTTTACTGAACTAATATGTCGCCAGCAAAAACACACATGCCAGATGCGTGTATAAGTATAGTTCAGACACACTCAAGCACACTCAGCCATAAAAAGTAACTGAAAGGCCTGGCTACCACCAAACACTGGTATTTGTAAATACAGTGCATCACCCAGGAGTTATCAGCGTATCAGCTTCCATCATCCGTGTGGTCATAAAGACCACTAAAGCTAATATAAATTCAGATGGAAAAAGGAAATATCATTTTACCAGACATTTAGCCCATCCAGTGTCAATTTACAACCTGGTCTATGATACTACCCAAACAATTTCAGACATAATAATGGTGCTGCTTCTGCTTCTCACAGTATCAGTGGCTCAAACCTGCAAATGACTTCAATAGCAGTGATTTGCATTTTGTGCATCCACAATATTGTGCTCAGAACTGGTGCTGTGGCCAGGAAACCACCAATTGAACAACTATGAGGAATGACAATCTGTCCCTGAAAGGCAAAATATCTTAATAAAAAATATCCCATTTTGTGGAAGAAAAACGCAAATTGACAAATACTCAATTTGCTGCAGAAGGCCATCACCGGTGACATCCATTTCAAAACACGTCAGTTTTCATTTGTTGTCAAAGACTGCCTAACCACAGTTGAATAAGCTGCTGTGTAAACAGAATTCAGGGGAGACAGATGGGATGACAGAATTATATTCCATTTCCCCGAATGACTTAATAGTGTAGTTCTGTGGAAAACTCGCAGCAGGTAGAAACAGTTGAGAGAAGCTCTTAGTGCCCTCAGAGAGGAGAAGATCTAGGGCAGGAAGTAAAGGGACTTGGTCCAGCTGTCATCCATGAAATATGGATCATTAATTCCCTCTCCCACTTGTCATTCTCTCCCTCCATGCCTCTTAAATGTCCTTCATCCTCCCCTTTTTTTCCCCTTGACATGTTCCTTTCCTGTCCTTTTTTAATGAATGACCTTCCGTTGCTTGATTTGGGACACTCGCGGTTACTAGAGGTATCGGAAAGAACGTTTTGATACTACAGCACATACCTGTTAAACATGTTTCGATGTGAAGAGAGAAAAGCACCTTAAGTATCTGTTTACACCACAGCGAAACAAACATTGTATTTTAATCAAATAAGTCATTAATAATAGTAACTGTGATCTGATTTTACACTGGAAGTAGGATCCATACAAGAGCAGTGCAAGGCCAAGTTGTTGACTTGCTATTAATATTGGGGTGTGCAGCATGTTTTTTACTGAAAAGAATGCATACCATACAAATAATCAAAAATAGCCCTTGAGTTTGTGGATTGGGGATTCTATTTTAAATCCAGTGTGTTCACTCGGAGAGATTATCGAAATGGTTCCATTTTAGAGATGTGAGCAAACAATCTGAGAGGTTCCTCCCATTGCAGTGAGATTATGGAACATTCTCCTGCTCTGCTTGTACAGTACATGCTACACCTGCCACTTTATATTAGCTGATTTGAATGCAGCATACATTATTGCCTTTCCATTTGCGGTGTTCACACAATCTCATTGCTTGCTCAGTAAACTCAAAATGAACCTCCCTGGAAGTTTCTTTGCACTCAAGGCAAACGAATGATCAAAGAATTGTTGGCCTTGCTGGGAGGATTCCTCATGTCTTTTAAGTGTTTTGTGCTCACCTCCCCCAGCCCCATTTGAAGCTGAAGCAGGAATAATTAAAAGAGGAGAACAGTGCAAAATGCTATTGTTTGCTATATGTAAAAACCCTCCAGTCAGGTTAGGTATGAGAGGAAAAATAGGCAAAAAAGAAGGGGAATGATGGAAAAGTAAAAATTGAGGTAAGAAGTTATAGAGGGACTGAAGAGCAGTGTGGAGCTCTGAATCCTGCTCTCACCTTTCCTTGAACCCTTTCCTTCACCTCTGGCCCCTCAATTCAATGAGCCTTGTGGCTTTTTCCAGTGCTAGTCACCCAACCATAATGATCCATCATTGATCCACGACAGAGGGACTTCTCTCACCACTTAAAGCCACTTACGTGTGTGTGTATGCGTGCATCCATACGTGTGTGTCACCTTGCTGATTTGTATCTCCAAGGTTGTTGTCAGGTCCAGGCATGCCCGAGAGTTTCTCTGAGTTACATTTATCATTATAGCTGGTTGTTAATGGCCACACAAGGACCATTGTACAGGCTGTCCTTGCACACACAAATTAGGATGGTAGGGAGCAACTTAACAGTTTTAAACGGGAGCTGTTGTGAAGTGAGAGAAGGGTATGAAAAAATATATATTATCATTCCCCAATTTTATATATTCTTTTGCTTCAATGATAATATTAATGTCACATATTATCCCCTTTCCTCCTCTAAACCTGAAATGCTTTATTGCCTCGGAAATATCTCTATAATTTTGAAATCAATTCAAATTTGAGCTGCTATTATTTGACAAGTTAAATCAAATAAAGGGTGTTAAGTGAAGGTGTTTAAAAAAGATTGTGTTTGATGGTGTTATTGCAGCTTAAGCAAGGAAATGGAAGCTCCTATTGTTGATCCAGCAGTAATAGAGAGACTTCAGTGCACCCAAATCAATGAGGATATCTATACAGGACAACTGCGGGAAGACGAACAAAAGCAATGGATTTTAATAGCATTATATAAGGCAACGGAATAAATTCTGCATGCCCATCATCATTACCATCATCATAATGATCACCCTCCATCACTTTTGTATTACACCTTCTTGCCAACACCATCAATTATCCCCACAACCACAAATCATCAGGACACAGCTCGTACTCATCACATACCGGAGTGTTCCCTGAAGAAGAGTGAGGTCTAATTGTGCGCGTTGGTGGCAGGGGATATAAAGCAGGAAAAAAAAATTAAGAAAGAAAAATCAATGCCTTAACTAAAGGAGCAAGTGAATTATTGATGAGCAGAATGTAATGGGATCCCAAGTGTCTATTTCTCTAACTTGGACTGCTTGCTGCTCACGCTGCTACAGTCACAGCCAGAGAAGCAGAAACAAGGAAGGTGCCAAAACCACCCACTTACATCTCCTCTGGCAGATTAGCCGGCTTGAAGTATCTGGTCCAGTTTGGCTGACACTACCAGCTGTACTGTTCACACGCTGGCACTGTAAGAAGCTCATGTACAGATGCTTCTGCTACAGCCAACCTACAGTTAAGTAAAGGGCCTATCACCTTGTCAAGTTTGAATACATCTGAACTAGCATGTCTTTGAATGCTGCCCACGTTGCCTAAACATAACCTCTGTCGAGTTACTGTCGCTCCATTTGTTTGCAGTGACTACTCTGCGTTGCATGATGGACAAGCTATCCGTTTTTTAAGGCAGTTGCATTTCAATTCAGCATTACCCATGGCTTTTTCCTCTATCTATGGGATCAAATCCAAAATCCTTCCACACATGAATTCTCCGTTGCTTCGGTGACAGGATTATCTGTTTAGCACAGCTTGCTAGGCTTCTCTGTTTTGCGTTAGCAAAGAGAACAACAACATATGAGAGTGAGAACATTGAGGGATGAATTCATGGCAGCCGCTGATAGCATCAGGAATTGCAACAGCAATATGACCTGTCTTAAGTTCCCATTCTTAAAATGTAGTGCACTAATGAAACACAGCCATAAGGTTTTGCAGCTGAGTGTAATTTGCCATTTTAGTTTTGCATGTGATTGCATGTGGCAAAGTATACGCTTGAGGCCTATGTGTCGGTTGTGAGGGTCAGAGCAAGCTTGAGATAGAGGTCTTGTTAGGAGGCTCACTTCCCAAAGCATAAAGACAGAGGAACAAAAAGTAGTTTAAACTAGGAGCAATAATATCTTATTTTGCAATGAGGCTCATTAGAAATGGGCCATTTTGCGTGCCTTATGTATGCATTTTTAAGTTATTTTGATGCATTCAAATAGAGGTTGTAAGAGACACAATACCCTATTTTCTTTGAATTACAGTAGGGGGTGTTAAAGAATGACACAGTTTTGGAAACACTGAGCCGCCACAAATCAAATTAATGTTTTTTTGTGAATTCCCCCTTAGAATGATGAGTTTGAACAGATAATAACAGTATTCTAATTTTGAATGGTTATCCATTTTCTGACTTTCAAAAAGTGACAGCCTTATTTCCAAAGCTAAAGGCATGTAGGGCTTTTCTTGACTGATAAATACGTGATAGTTTCAGGGATTCCGTTGAAAACCAGTTATAGATAAACAGTGTTCATGCTGTTTTCCTTTATTTCTCTGAAGCTGAGGTTTTCCCGATACAAACCAGAGTATATACAGACCAATCATGAGTAGAAGCCATTCAATTCACACGTTAATCCTCACTTCCTGTAACCTTTTGAGATGGGAAAATCAGAACGTGCATTGTTTACACACATTGCTGGTGTGCTGTTTGTTTTATGGCAAGCAGAGAAGGCAGGCATCACTTCTGCTTGGCTGGAGAAGAGGCAGACACGGGGAATGCGAATGAGAGGTAGAGAGCGAGAGCGGCCAGGTGAGACCTGAAAGCTGCCTTTGTGTGGCAGCTGGCAGTACGAACACTGCCCTTCACTGTGAGACGATCTCCCCCTACACACACTACGTTTAACTGTACATGTTGGGGAGTTATAGGGGGGATGTTTGGAAAAAATACGAGGCTGAAAAACCGTTACAAGTTTTGTTGATGTAACACAAAAAGCCTTCACTCCAAGGTGAACGGACGTTTTAGGACTATAAAGTTGCTCTGTTTTCACTCTGCGTTTCCAAAATCTCCATTTTAGATGCAGTCTCTCTTATTTTCTCCTTCACTTCACCTCAACTGTATCTGTCTCGGTTGAACTGGAGCTTGAAGAGCATGATAATATCTAGTCCTCCTGTCTATGACTCTTCCAGAAGTTAGCACATATACATATTTGTACTGGAATGTGGAGGCCAGAGAGAGACGGAGATAGAGAAAAGTTGGACTTAATAAACAGATGGTTCTGAGTTATACTTATCTCTTTATGAGCTCGAGCTACAGATGGATTTGAACAGTTTTAAATCCTCTGCTGCAAGTTAAACAGTACCCAAATGTTCAGTATTGCTATATGTTTACATGTGTTAGGAGTGGCAGTTGGTCCAAAATGAAAAACAAATTAAAGCTAATACCCATTGGACAAACAAAGGTGTAAGTTATGGGATCACTCGAGGCAGTAGTTTTATGATGTACTGTATGTCTCTGTATTTGTCGAGGGGCAGCAACTCTGACTGTGTACTGATCTGTATTCTTTTTGTTTACTTCTCCCAAGGAGGGGCCCTGCAGAAAGCGCCAGGCACCATGAGGCAGCAAGCTTGGCCCGACAGAGTGCAGAAATCACCCTTCATCACCCTCAACCCGGCTGGGCAGCGGAGGAAATGCACACAGAAGCAGCAGCGCATGCCACAGCAGACACAGGCTAATTCACAAATCTGAGAGGACAGTGGAGAGCAAATGGGGGAGGCAGGAAGAGACTGAGAGAGGGGAGTCAGTTACTCAGATTGCGTCATCCTAAATGGCAAAGTGGACTGGGCCACCCTCAGAGGCAGTAATGTCCTTGTTAACACATTGTCCTTCGTTAGACCCTCCTTGTTAAAAAAATCACAAGTCAGTCCCCCCCCGCCCCTGTGAGGCTACAGAGCTGAGGGGCAGAGGAGAGGAAAATCAGAGGACGAAAGAGAGACAGAGCGGAATAAAGAGACAGTGACAGGCCCCCATGCAGGCCCGTAAGAAGTATGTTCTGCTGGGCTTGTGTGCGTGCTGCTGGCTGGTCCTCTTTTACTGCGGTGGAGGAGCCCAGCTACGTGTGCTCCGCCTGCTGACACGCCAGCGGGGTGAAGTGATGCGCCCCTGGCCCAACTGGACCGACAGGGCCTTCCTGCCCCGCTATGCCCACCTGGATGAGCTCCAGACGGACCCCGGGACGATTGAGTCGCCCCGCCAGCGCCGCCAGGCGTGGTCGACCATTTATAAGGACAGTCGCTGCCGTATGGAGACCTGTTTCGACTTCTCGCGGTGTCGCCGTAGAGGAAGAGAAGGGTTCAGGGTGTATATATATCCGACAGAGAAAAATGACCATGTGTCAGAAAGCTACAGGAAGATCCTGACGTCCATAGGTGAGTCCCGGTACTTCACAACAGACCCCCGTGAAGCGTGCCTGTTTGTGCTCGGGATAGACACCTTAGATCGGGACCAGCTATCAGGACAGTTTGTGCCCAATTTGGATGAACGTATCAAGGGTTACCCGCTCTGGAATGACGGTAGGAACCACCTGATCTTCAACCTGTACTCGGGCACCTGGCCTAACTACACAGAGGACCTAGGCTTCAACATTGGCCAGGCCATCTTAGCCAAAGCCAGCCTCAACACGGAACATTTCAGGCCAGGCTTTGACGTGTCCATCCCGCTGTTCTCAAAGGAACACCCGCAGAAGGGCGGAGAGCGGGGCTGGCTGGTGAGGAATGCCACACCGCCACGAAGGAAGTACCTGCTGATGTTTAAGGGGAAGCGCTATCTGACGGGCATCGGTTCAGACACCAGAAACGCTCTTCATCACATCCACAACGGAAAGGACATTGTGTCGTTGACGACGTGCCGCCACGGGAAGGACTGGGAGAAGCACAAGGACGCCCGCTGTGACCATGACAACCTGGAATATGAGAGGTAAGAAAGGGGCTACATTTCCAGCGGGGAGGGCAGTACTGAGGTTATGTTTAAATGAGAAGGAAGGCGTGAGCGAGGGAGGCTCTGTACTACACAGGGAGTTATGGGAAACTGTGTCAAGTGTTATTGTGTGTGTTTTTATAGGAAATTCACAGTGGTGTTTTTCCTTTTGACTTTGAATTTGAACTTAATATGCTGTTTTATTGGTCTTTTATTGGTGTAGAGATATCACTGGTTTCTACATGCACTGTTAGCAGTAGCCTTTGGTCCCAGTGGTAATTTTCATGACAGCAAAAATTTGACTCTTTAAGTTTATGATGTTTGCCATTGTGGAGATCTAAGGTTTTGGAGACGGACTCAAGTCTTTGGACATTAAGATTCAGGTCACTATTTAAAGCAATACTTGTATTATATTTCCTTAGTAATTGCTCAGCTTGTAATAACTGCCCTTGAGCTCCTCCATTATTCAGAGTGTAAAACATTTTACAGGATGATAGATGAATAAATAACACACTCCCACATTTTGTATTTTGTATTTGGGTGTGTACTTCGATACGACAGATAAATGAACAGCCACAGCTAATTTATAACAACTGAAATTACATTGCATAAAGAGCCAAAGCAAAGGTCACCACAAAGAATGGCTTTGTGAAATCTCTGATTACCTCAGAGAATAACCGCTGCTGGGTGTTAAGTGTGAATAATTATTCTTTTTTTAATTCAGCCCCTTGTTTCTTCAGGTTTTCTTGCTGTTGTTATTGCGTGGAGAGATAGCCTTGCCATTTCAACTTTGGTTTTAAATGAGCTTACTGATTAGACAGGGGTTGAAGTGGATACAAAACACTGGAAAAGTAGAATCCAGCAACATCTGCAAGAGTAAGAGCAATGATTTATTATTCAAACCAACCAATTTAAGCATATTACCTTACGTAGCTGGCGTTTGAAAACATTTTGTACAAAGGCACATATATATTTCCAGTTCAGCCCCTATGTGCTTGACAGGCTTTTTCACCGAGTGGTTTTCAAGTATGTGAGAGCCATTGTTGAGTTTATAATGAAAAGCTTTATGAAACACACCCATACATGTCGCAGCAGCAGCTTGGTAAACATGTCTCATCCACTGAGCACTTTTCTCCTGCTGGCTTATTCGAGGTCAGACAGTGATTTAAAAACAGATTGAAATGGACGCATGACCTCAAAACACACGATTTGATTGTAAAATACTCTTTTAAATTCTCAGAGGATTAATACAAGAAGTACAATATCTCTTTAATCTTTTATCTAAATGCAATTGTGAAGATATTTTTAAAGGGGTCGAGGTAGTGAGAAAAAGGATGTGAGAGGAAGTTCAGTTCATCACAAGGTTATCATCTGTAGTAGTCATTACATCGTTTTTACAGAGGAGATATACAGCAGCCCCTCTGTTCTTGCTTAACTTACACTTTGCAATAAAAGTCTCTGAAGCTGAAGTGCTGACAGAGCTCCTCATTATAGAGTCTGAGCCTGTCCATTCATACCCAGTTACCAAGGATAGTCATGGTGCAGAACATCCAGACAGGACAAGATGCATATCAGTGAAAGAGAGATCGGCTGTGTTCCAATACTAACGTACGGCACACTAACGCACCACATCCTTACGACACACTCAATTTATATATTGAATACTGAGTGCCTACTAAATAAAGGTTTTACTCACTTGCCGTTATTTATTTATATCAATCTAATTACCCATCTATTATCTACCTATCATCCATCCACCCACCCATCCATCCGTCCATCCGTCCGTCCGTCCGTCCGTCCATCCATCCGTCCGTCCATCCATCCATCCATCCATCCATCCATCCATCCACCCATCCATCCATCCACCCATCCATCCATCCATCCACCCACCCATCCATCCGTCCATCCGTCCGTCCATCCATCCGTCCGTCCATCCATCCATCCATCCATCCATCCATCCATCCACCCATCCATCCATCCACCCATCCATCCATCCATCCATCCACCCATCCATCCATCCACCCATCCATCCATCCATCCATCCATCCATCCATCCATCCACCCATCCATCCATCCATCCATCCATCCATCCATCCATCCACCCATCCATCCATCCACCCGTCCATTTTAGGTTAGCAAGCTAGTTTGCCTGGTTGCTAACGCCACAATAAGTCATATTTTAAATGTCATCTATTGTCTTAAAGAATTCAAATTAACTGGGGCTGGGATTTTCTTTGACTATCAATTAATTTGCTAATCAAGCTAAGGCCGAAACCACAACATTGTACGTCCAAAGTGAGTTAAGCGATAATTGGATTATAGTTGAAGATTAATATTGTCAGTATGCTAATTAATTAATTGAGTAATTATTTTAGTCCTACTAAGCAGTTCACTCATTCAAGTCATAGTGACATGTCAGGACTCATGGAATATTTATAAGTGAAATAAAAGCTAGAAATGTTAAGTTACATTAATAGAAATGTGTGTAACTAAATTAAATGATGGAAAAGTAGTTCCTTTTTGATAAATTCCTGTATAATATTTAGCAGATCACTAATTCTGAACTGCCTCTGCTTCCTTGAATCGCCTCTCCTCTGTTGGGCTGACCCAACTGCCGAACCACATTTAAATCTAAAGCAGCAGGAGTTGGAAGTTGTTTTCATTTGCCATCAAATGAACGCTCGAAGCGAGTATCTATACAATAGGACTTTTCAAATATCCTTTTCCCCGGGAACAGCAGTTGGATGATGGTCCTGATCCAGACACACTCCTTGCTCCTGTGGCTTATAACCGGCCACCTTAGGCTTGTTTACATTGGGCCGGGCAGCAGAGGGATGGAGCTGCTCAACACTGTATGAATGAGCTCATTTATTCCACACAGCCCGCTACTCACACCCGGGTGGGCAGGGGGTGTGTGGGGTGGGGAGGATAATGGAGGAGGTCCCATGTGTTATTTTTCGGTAGGTTTGGATACGGCAATGACTCTGAGGGTGTAAGGGTGTGAATGGGGGAGGCAACGTGAGAGACAGCTGCCGTTTGTAAGAAAAACACAAAAAGCTGGATGATTTTTTTTCCCCCTCGCTCCCCTTTTGTATGAAATCCCTTTCTCTGCAAACAGGAGGCCTATAGCCTTGGAGATAGAGGTGTGAAGCAGCAATGTGGGGTGGAAAGGGAGGGAAGGTGAGGGGCAGTGGATTTCTCTGTTTGCATCCTTTGAACGTCCTTTTGGGGAGAGAAGAAGGGGACTTCAGAGGAGACACACCCTCACCTCTCCATCTGTCTGCTGGCAGATTCTCCCTGTGTCTTTTCTTCCATCTATCTATCCTTTTATTTCACTCATTTCTCTTGTCTTTCTGCCAGAAATCCTGCACCTGAAGTATGCTAATAATAGCATTTTGCCCTGTGTCTACCTGTGTGTGTGACGGCCACGGCTATATATCCATGAGATTATTTCTGTGTTTTCGACTGTGGCACGGTCTGTGAGACTCTTAGAAGGTGGCACCAGGTTAATGAGCGCATGCATCTGGTACACCAGCAGATTAGCCCCGAGGGACCCGGACAAGCCGACAACAAACAGACAAAGGGCACGAGGAGGAGGAGGAGGGGGGGGGAGAGCAGGAGCAAGGGGGAGTCAGACGGACAAATCAATAGAGCGTCATGACATCATTTTACTGACCAAGTAAAGACCTTAACACCCCCTCACACATAAGACACACATTGTGTGGAGGGTGATTACTCCCTACTATTACAATACAGTTTGACAATAATATGATTAACTTAGTTTGGTTGAATTTACTGTCAGGTTCACTGTGAACACATTCTACTATACCTCTTTACCGGAGCCACTGTAGTGCATACACCTACCTCAGTATATTTCGTCCTGGTTATTTGAATGATCAATACATCTGTTTTATCCAATTAATGGATTCATTGTCAATTCCAAAACCCATTAAAAGTGTTTTAATGAGGATGTATCAAAAGACTTTTGCTGCAACTCAAAACAACATCATCCAGCATCTTCTGTCCAATCAAAAAGGAGCAAGCGCACATTCCAAATGGATTGCTTTATGCTTAAAACCGCCAATTCCTGCTTCTACCTGTGCAGTGTTTCAGTGTCAGATAAGCCTTCGGAAGCTAATGTTCAGTCCTTGTTTGTAGGAAGACCCACATTGACCCAAAAACACATTTTCTTCCCTTTGGTGGTATCTAGCCATGCACATGCAGATAGTGATGGGTTCATTTGCAGAGGTTTTGATCTATTTCATACCACATGGGACCTCCTCACAGCATTAAAACAATCATACAGCATCCTGGTTGCTGTACTGTATGATCCACACACCATGCTATCAGCAGGCTTCCTTGTCTGTATTTCTTTGGGTGAAAAAGACAAGATCTGTTCTCAGTGGGGTCTCTGGATTACCCTGAATCATCCCTGTTCACAAAAAGCGAATATTCTGCAACTCGTGTGCATTCCTTGTTGGCATGAAGACAGGAGTTTACCCATTTAGACTGACTGTTGTTGCAGGTTCAAACCACATGACCTCCACTTAGTACCAAATTGACATCAGTGCAAAGCATCGTGAAGCTGTTGTGTGCTGTATTGCTGCACTACGAACACTCTTCCTTTATGAAACAATGATAATACCTTTCTGGTTATTATCTTTTTTTCTTTTTAAACGGATTAAGGTTAAATACTTTTGTCCCCCCTGCCATTTCTATTAACTAAATTTCACTCTTTTAAAATATGGAATGATTGGTAAAGGGCACGCGAAAATCCCATTAAAATACGCCAAAGGGGAAAATACATCTGAATAGGAACAGAAGGTGCCTGGAAATACTTTTCTCGGGTCTATTGAATTTGGTGTGTCATTTCTGTGTGTGTGTGCAAGTGTGTGTGTATGTGTGTGCATGGATTATGAATGATAGAAGAGAAAACAGAACAAAGTAGCAAAGAGACAAGTTGGAGGGAAGACACAGTGGTACCCAAGGCAGTAAGAGCA